GCACTCTGCCCAAAGTTGGGCCATGGGTCTCAGCATCTGCTTTGATACACTGCTAGGTAGAGTCTTTCAGAGGCCCTCTGTGGTAGGCTCCTGTCCTGTTACTTGTTTTCTCCTACTTCCAATGTCCATCCCATTTGTCTTTCTAAGTAAGGACTGATCATCTTACCCCAGGTCCTCCTACTTGTTTAGCTTCTTTAGGTGTACAGATTTTAGTATGTTTATCCTATCTTATAGGTCTAGTATCAACTTATAAGTGAGTATATACCATGTGTGTCTGTTTCTGGGATACCTTACTCAGGATGATCTTTTCTAGGTCCCACCATTTGCCTGCGAATTTCATGATTTCCTTGTATTTAATTGCTGAATAGTATTCCATTGTGTAAATGTACCACAATTTCTGTATCCATTCCTCAGTTGAGGGACATTTGGGTTGTTTCCAGGTTCTGGCTATTACGAATAAAGCTGCTATGAACATGGTTGAGCAAATGTCCTTGTTATGTACTTGAGCATATTTTGGATATATGCCTAGGAGTGGTATAACTGGATCTTGAGGAAGCACTATTTCTAATTGTCTGAGAAAGTGCCAGATTGATTTCCAAAGTGGCTGTAGCACATTTTATTATGGATCAAATTCCAATGACTAAGAAAATTGAATCATCATGTCTTCATACTGCGTTTTATGGAAGTATTTATAGAAAAATTTGCTTATTTTAATTAGTTTGTTTAGGTTTTTATTATTGAGTTACAATAGCTCTTTTAAAAATGTCATGCAGTTAATCAGTCTTACTCATTTCCATCTTTGATTTACCTTTTCATTTTTAATGTATCTATCAAAGGGAAGTTTTAAATTTTGTTTCCATCAGGTCAATATTTTTTCTTTTTTTTAAATTTTTTAAATTTTATTTTATTTACATTGGTGTGAGAGTGCCATGCCACCTGGAACTGGAGTTACAGACAGTTGTGATCTGCAATGCGGGTGCTGGAAGTTGAACCAGGGGCCTTTAGGAAGAGCAGGCAGTGCTCTTAACCACTGAGCCATCTGCCCCAGCCCTATATTTTTTTGGTTTTACAATTAGTTCATTCATTGGTAACAAGACTTTCCACATCATTATGTTGAAGACCATATGGGAAACAATAATGGAACACACCTGCCCTCAAGGAGATCAGAGGAAGAGAATCCAGAATATTAGAATCAAAATCTGACTCAAAACAGTGTCATATCTGTTTAGGTGGCATTTGAGGAATGCTAAAATTATGAGAACAGGACACATATCCATATTCCCTGAACTATTTATATAGTATATTACTAAGAGAATACCTGGGAATTTGAGAGGATGGTAGTACTCCATTTTTATATTCTGGAAATTATATGACTTATGAATTTTTCAAATATCATAGAACTATAAGCCAAGAAGAATACATGTTATTGTAAGTAAATTCTCTGAAATTAAAAAAAAAAAATCCTGTATGGAATTTTCAGTTTTCTTTTTCTCTTCACTGCAGTATTTCTAATACCTACCTTTGTTGTATGGATATTCCTGGCTAATCAACTTTTTTTTTCTTTATTAATTACACTTTATTCACTTTGTATTCCCCCTGTGGTTCTCTCCCTCCTCCCATCCCAATCCCTCCCTTCCTCCACTCTCTGCATGCATGCCCCTCCCCAAGTCCACTGATAGGGGAGGTCCTCTTTTCCTTCCTTCTTATCCTAGTCAATTAGGTCTCATCAGGAGTGGCTGCATTGTCTTCTTCTGTGGCCTGGTAATGCTGCTTCCCCCTCAGGGGGAGGTAATTAAAGAACAGGACAATCAGTTCATATCAGAGACAGTCCCTGTTCCTATTACAAATGGAACCCACTTGGGTACTGAACTGCCATGAGCTACATCTGTGCAGGGATCTTAGGTTATCTCCATGCATAGTCCTTGGTTGGAGTATCTGTCTCAGGAAAGACCCCTGTGCTCAGATTTTTTGGTTCTGTTGCTCTCCTTGTGGAGTTCCTGTCTTCTCCAGATCTTGCTGTTTCCCACTTCTTTCCTAAGATTCCCTGCACTCTGCCTAAAGGTTGCCCATAAGTCTCAGCATCTACATTGATGGTCTGCAGGTCAGAGCTTTTCAGAGGTCCTCTGTGTCAGGCTCCTGACTTGTTACCTCTTTTCTCCTTCTGATGTCCAGCCTCTTTGCCTTTCTGGATAGGAATTGAGCATATATATATATATAATCTTTTGCAAAAGTACTTGAGATCCAGTTTTTAAGTTGCTCTCTGCAGTTCGCAACACAGCTGATCATTCTTGAATAGTCTTCATTGTTCACAGATGCCAGGATTTTCTGAGACATAAAACTTAAGAGTAGAGTAGCTGATGCCTGAAGCATCCGTTCAGCCTTATAAATAATAATAGATGAGTTAGTCTCACACAGTTTTTCTAGTGTACGATCAGCTGGAAGTGTTGATCAAATCATCTCTAGGGCTTCTTTTCTCATCACGTAATATCACAGTTAACATTTGCTCTTTGGTTACTGGTAAAGTGGAAAACCTTTTCCTTGTTTTTTATCCTTTCTTTCTCCCTCCCCCCCCTACTTCTCTTTTCTCTTCTCTCTTCTCTTCTCTCTCTCTCCTTTCTTTCCTTTGTATTCCTAATTCCTCTTTTCCCCTCTTGCCCATTTTCCAAGTAGGTTATATTTTCTTTGTTGCATAGCAGAGGGTCATTAGCTAATCTGAATAGTAACTTTTTCTTAGTTTGTATTTGATGCAAATAGTTTATGGCATTTTTTTCCTAGTCTTTTCACTTTTTTGTGGTGTCTGTGTTGATAAGCAGAAGTTATTGTTTTTTTTTTAATGTTCATAGTGCTTAAATTTTATTTTTAGCTGAATCACCATTCTATAATTAAGTTGTTTCCTGCATTGGATTTGCACTGAGAATTTCTTTAGGGTTAAAGATATAATATACAATACCACCTGCCGTAAGTTCATGAAAAAAACAACAAAAAAGCAAAGGCAGACTGCATATTAAAGCCACACCACGGATTCAGTCTGTCAGCCTGGGGAGAGAAGGATTTATTTGGCTTGCCAGTTGCAGTTCATCATTAAGGGAAGCCTATACAGGTACTCAAGGAAGGAACATGGAACCAGGAAATGAAGCAAACACCATGGAGAAATACTGTTTATTGGCTTGCTTCTAGGCACATATCCAGCAACATAAATCTCTCTCTCTTTCATTCTCTTGCTCTTTCATTCTCTCTCTGTCTGTCTGTCTCTGTCTCTGTCTCTCTCTCTTTCTCTCTGTTGTGTTTAGTTAGGTTCCTTTTAAGATAGGATTCTACTTTTTATCTTTGGCTGGCCTGGAACTAGCAATGTAAAACAGGCTGGCCTTGAACTCATAGAGATCTGCAAGAATCAGCCTCTGCAAGAATCTTTATTAGTTGTTTATTTTAATGCAAATCATATTTTGATATTTTAATTTCAGGTATGCGGAGGCTTTACATTAAAAAGATATTTTTAGTTGTGTGTGTGTGTATGAGTGTGACAGGGAGAGAGAAAGAGAGAGAGAGAGGACACATGTCTCTCAAGAGGGACATCTTACTCCCATGGTGTGGGGCCCAGGAAGAGAACTCACATTATCAAGTGTGGAGGCCGGCTTGGTTACCAATGAGTCATCTTGCCAGCCTTTATAGAGGCTTTAAAGCTCTGGCTCTCAGCCATCCTAACACTGCGACCCTTTAATACAGTTCTTCATGTTGTGGTGACCCCCAATCATAAAATTATTTTTGCTGTTACTTCATAACCACGGTAATTTTGTTACTGTCATGAATCATAATGTAAATATTTACATTTTCCGATGATCTTAGGGGACCCCTGCGAAAGAGTCGTTTGGAGTTGCCACCCACAGGTTGAGAACCAGTGCTTTAAAGCAGCGTGCCCTGCTTTTATTACTGTTGAAGATGTTGTGAGTGAGAACTTGTACCCATTTGCTTTGGTTTGAAGAATAAATGTTTGAGAAAACAGAAAGTCAAGTTAGGAAGGACTCCATAAGTGAACTGATTAGACTAATGGACAGAGTGTGAATGGAGAAAAATAAAGCTGAATGGCAGGACTATCTTAAACATAAGACAGAGTTTATGCCAGTTCAATAAGACTTTGATAAAGAGGAAAGATTTAACTTTTGCTCCAAATTCTTTCTTGATAGATTGAAAGACTAGTTACAGCTTTAACAGAAATAGTGTGGTTGGTGTGAATGGGTGGGGTCATAAAACATCTTTTTTAATGCCTCTGCACTATATGCTCCATATAGTTCATCAATATAACATTCACACCTAAATATCAATGTTATATTGACTCGTTTGAAAAAGTGGTTAAAAATGTGGCCCTAGAAGACCAGTGTCAGACAGGTTAAAGGGTAGGCTATCTCAAAGTGGACGGCTTGCTACAACTAAAAAGCAGCTTTTTTTTGCCACGAAAAATGTCCTCCCTTAGAGAAAACAATTACTCACGAATCTTTAGTTAAGGTTAATTAGTGGACGATTTGGAAGTTCAGAAGTTGGCTTATCTTGAGGGGAGTATTTTCTACTTTATGGTTTTATATGCCACTTTCAAAGATGATTCTAATTCTATCCATTCTGTAGCACAGACAATTTCCACCAGCTAGAACTCAGTGCAATCAATGCAGAACCTTTTACATGCTCCAAAAATAGAAGGTTAGTAAAAGGCTAGCCTGATGACCATCATTAGCTAAAAACTTAATTGGTTACATTGTCTTATTTCACGCTAAAGACTTCAATATTCCAATTTTGCAGATTGCAATCCTTTTTTCTCTCCCATCCTCCAGGGGGCAGTGGCCTGGAATACGCCTCTTGTGCACAGGCTCCCAGATCAGCACCAAACCCCTCCCGCGCTGTTCCTGGGAGCGTCAGATTAGTCGCCGGAGTCAGGCTCTCAAACTGAGCCTGCGCATAGTGCAGCTGTCGCGTGAGCGCATGCGCCTTGGAAGGAGCTTGTAGCCCTGACGGCTCTGGGCGGGTCTGGGCTGCTCCAGTGTTTTAGGGCCCAGGAGCTGTGGGAGGAGCCGGCGGCCTCACCGTGGTAACCGCAGCGCCGCAGCCCCGCCTTGCAGGCCTCCGGACTGTCACCGCCTTGGCTTTGAGGAGACTTTGGCCAGGTCCCCGGAAGTAGTCCCCCCAGACTCTCAGACACCCCCATCCTCCCCACGCCGCTGCCGCCGCCGCCATGCAAGGCGAGGACGCCAGATACCTCAAAAGGTGATGACCAGGGCTCCGCCCTGAACAGGTCCCTGCTGACTGTGGGTTGTCACTGGGCAAAGCTAGATACGAGAAGGAGTGGGATGCAGGGAAGGAAAGGAAGAGGAGAGGGATGGGGTGGAATAAAGGACGGGACCCTGCGGGGGCGCGAGGTCCTTAAGCCACTTTGTCTTGGAGGTGGGGGGCGGCGGGGGCTGACCTGATATCCTTGCTGCATTGATTAGTATTCACAATGAGAGGCAGGCTGGGAGAGGTAAACCCATATTTCGGGTTTGTTTGGTTTTTTTTTCCGCCCCACTCTCCTGTTTTTGCAATAGATAAATCCCAGGGGAGCTTGGAAGTGAATTCTGTCACATCATCAATTTGTGTCCAGTTTGAAATTCATAAATCGTGGGGTTTCGGAATAAAGACGGATGAGCGGCTGATTTTTACTTTATGCAAAACTGAGATTTAAGTCAGTTGCTCTTGGTCTATTTCACCTATTTGACTGTCACATTCACTGTACAATTTCTGTAGGTAGTTCATTATTATCAAGACCTTGGCATGAAAAAGCCTACCAATTTTCTGTCTTAAGTATATGTAATATCAGGTACTCCAAAGGAAATAGAAAATTTATTGAGATTCCTTAACTTCTGTCAACGATGAGGGCATCTATGGTGAAAAAATATACCTCTCATTGACCATGAACAAATTAAAAAAAAAAAAAAAGCTAATTTGGATTCCCAGTTTTTAGTTAAAGCTCCGTTGCTAATCCACTGCGAAAGCATATACATATTTTTGGACATAACTATTGAGAAGGAGATCTATTACTTTCTGAGAGATGTAAGGACAAAATATGAAAATACTTTTAAAAGAGAAAACATGCGTGTTGGGTGATGATATTGGTTTATGTCCTAATGTACTTTCGTTGAGTATATTTTTTGCTTGCTTGGTAGGGTTCTAGCTGCCACAAATATCTTCCAGTGTCTCTGACATGAACTCAGTGGCCGGCTCTTTGACCTCCCCTCTCCGCCTCCCCCCCCCCGCCCCCCCCAGGGAGGAGCAGCCTTGCTAGGCTACAGAGGAGGACATTGCAGCCTGATGAGACCTAATATACTAGGGTCAGATGGAAGGGGAGGAGGACCTCCCCTATCAGTGGACTTGGAGAGGGGCAGGGAGGAGATGAGGGAGGGAGGGTGGGATTGGGAGGGAATGAGGGAGGAGGCTACAGCTGGGATACAAAGTAAATAACCTGTAAGTAATATAAAAATAAAATTATTAAATAAATAAAATATCTTCCAAGTGTTAGTGGACTCTTAACATAGTCAAACAATTGCAAAATAAATCAACTATACTGCTTTTTCAAAACAGGGGAACATAGTGCTTTGTCTTTTTCATTTTATGTTTAATGAAAATGGCAGATGAAAAGACTTTGATTAGAAACTTGTAAAAGGAACATTAGTCAAGACAAATATATAGGCAGCTCATTTTCCAACATAATTCTGTTAGCAACATGCACATAGGGAGATTTGCCCCCCCCCCCCATATTTGGTCAAATACAGTAAGTTTTCAAGTTTCGACTTTAAACCTAAGGTTATTAAAGAAAGTTCCGCTGTTGTAACATTTGCTGATTTTCATATGAAGTGGTTATGTCTGATGTGGTTTTGCTTAGAATCATTTTACTAGTGTGGACAACATCATCTAGAAAACAATAAATACAACTGATCTAGTCACTGTGATGGTTTAGTTAAAGTCAGAATCTGGTAAAAGATTGAAGATACGTTATTCAATTTTGGCAAAAGTTTGCATCGCCTTCACATTATGTATATACATACATACATATATGAGAGAAATTATATATATATATATATATATGGAATGGAATAAATGTTCTTTATTCTACCCCATTTCATCATATATACATATATATATTTACATATATACAAACAGATGGAATGGAAAGTCAGGAACTTGATGGGTATTATAAATATGATGTTTTGCTAGATTTTTCACATTGTATAATTATGCTCCACTTATATTATGAATTAACACTTTATTCCCTTTTCTGTAACTGAATAACATATATCCATTATGTGGATATATTATAATCTGTTTATTTATGACATAAGTATTGTAGATATTCAGGTGGTTTGTACCTACTGCCTTTTAGGAATAAAGGTGCTATCATCATGACAGGATTTTGTTTGAACACTTCTCATCATTTCATTCATTCTAAGCTTGAGATCCAAGGAACATGGAGTAGTTACATGTTAGACTCAGTGAAGAGCCAGCAAAGAGTTATTCTGTGTCTGTCCTTCTTACATATGGACTTCTTATGTATGAGGACTCCAGTTTTTCCACACTTTATATTTTCTCTTTTTGTATTGTTTTGTGTGTTTGCTCTGTAACTGTAGCTATTCTAGGGGGTTTAAAGAGGTGTCTGATTCTGATTTTGATTTGCATTTCCTATTACTAAGTAAATTGAGCTTCTTTCATCCTCCTTGGTCATTTGTCTTTCTTCTTAAGGAAAATATTATTGAAATATATTCTTGACATTAGGCCTTATTAAATATGCAGTTTACAAATATTTGTCCCAGCCTTTGGATGCCTTTTTACTGTGTCGAGTATGTCAATACTGTCAACGATTTTAGTTTGTTAAAGTCTATTTTATTAATAGTTACTGTTGCTTTTGAAAACAGATTTAAGAAACCATTGCTAAGTCCAAGGTCGTGAAGCTTTCCCTTCGGTTTTATAGTTTTCGCTCTTAAATGTTGGTCTTTTATCCACTTGAGTTGATTATTGTATATGATGCTTAAGAATCTCTAATGGTCTTAGCATTGATTGTCAGAGGTTGTTCTTTCTCTCCATTGATAATCTGAGCATCCTTGTTGAAAATTGATGGACTCTAAACATAGGTGTTTTCCTGCACTGTCAGTCCTAACCAACAGATTTGTTAATATGTGGTTCACCTTGTGCTAGTAACTACTGCTTAACTTGGGGAGTATTTACGTTGAGAATCCTACAATTGTGGGAATCCTAAAATTTTGTTGCTCTTTATCAAGAGTGTTAGTTAGTTAGGGTCTTTGGTTTCTGTGCAAAGTTTAGTGTTGTCTTTTCCTTCTCTGCAATTAAAAAAAAAAAAAAAGGCTGTCATCAGAACTTTGATAGGGGTTCTTACTGATTCCATGAGTCATCAGGGGGAAATACTAGTATCTAAATAATAAGTTTTCCTGTCCTTGAACATAGGATTACTTCCCTCTCCTCCCCCCTTTTTTTAGTTCTTTTTGATTTCTTTAACTTTTAACTTTTAAGTATTTTAAGTGCTGAGCCTCCCTGCTTCAATTTATTTGTAAGCAATTTGTTCCATTTGATATTATGGGAAGCTACATTTTTTCTTAATTTCATCTTTAAATTTTTAATTAGTATCATATGGAAATACAATGCACTTTTAAATGTGCAACTTTAATGATTATGTTTTTTAGATCAAACAATTTGGTATAGTTTTTAGAATATGCAAAGAGAAAAGCGTCATCATAGATGGGTATAATTTCTTTCTTACTTTCTTATCTGGATGCCTTTTTACTTCATGTCTCATTGCTTAGAGACAATCGTTTCCATCATTTTATTAACATGTTGAATTCCTTGGATAATATCATATGGCTTGTGCAGTCTTTTAACGTGCTGCTAGATCCTGTTGGCTTGCACTCTGAGGGTATTTCCAACTGCATTTGTTAAGGATATCAGCCTGCAGCTTTTTGTAGTGTCTGTGCCTTACGTCAGCATGTAATGGATTATGGCATTTTCTCTCCCCTTCTATTTTTTGGAGGAGCTTGAGGAGACTTAGTGTTTATTTTTCTTTAAATGCTTGGTCTATTTTACAAGTAAGCCCGTTTGGCCTTAGACTTTTCTTTGTTAGAAGTTTTTGTCTCAATATCTCACAGTGCTAGTATATTATATAGTTCTTCTTTTCTTATTTTTAGTTTTTATGAGTTCAGAATAATGTCCTACTGTTTGGTTCTACTAATTTTAGTCTTATTCAATCTAGCTGAATATTTTGATGATTTTTTAAGTTTTTTTTATTTTTTGAAATTAACTTTAATTATATCATTTCTCCCCCCTGTTCATCTTTCCAGTCCCTCCAAAGTGCCGTACTCTGCACCTCTCTCAAGCCCGTGTCCTTCCCTTCTTTGATGTTGACATAGGATTTCAGGGATGGCTTGGTATTGGATAACCAGTTAGGGGGCTCCTCCTTGGGGAAAACCATCCCTCCAGCTCCCAGCAGACCTCAGTTGCCTAAAATTCTTTGACTAGGGTTGGATCCCCATGGGTTCACCTTCCCCATCAGCCTGTTGATATAATCCTTGCTCTGGTCTTGTTTATACAGTAAGATAGGTTCTCACTGTGGCCCTCCTTGGACTGGAACTCTCTGTAGACCAAACTAGCCATGAACTCAGGGAGATTCTCCAGCCCTCTGCATACTGAGTGTTGGGATTAAACTTGTGGGCCTCCATGCCTGGCTTTTTGGTCATTTTAAACAATCAGCATTTCTTTCACCTTCATTTTGTGTTTCTCACAGATTCTATTCTTACCATTATTAGTAGTGCAGACCTAGTTTTTCTCAGCCTTTCTAATGCTTCAGGTGTAAAGTCGAGTTACATCTTCTCAATGTAGGTGTTTGTAGTCACAGATTTCTGTTCAGCACTGCTTTCTCCCACCCATAAGCTTTGGTGTGTTGTTTTCATTTATATTTATAACTTCTCATGTGAGTTCTTCTTTGACTTACTAGCTATGTAGATGTAGATTATTTCCTTTTCTATATTTTTATGACTTTTTCTTTCTGTACTGATTCCTAGTTTTCTTCATTTGTAATTGGAGAGCACGCACTATATAATGTTAGTATTTTCAAATTTACAGATGGTCAAGGTACATAACATAAGATTTGCCTGTAAGAATATTCCATTTACACTTTTTTAGGGGAAGTGGAATTTCTTTATATGTAAATTAGGAGTACTTGGCTTATACTGTTCAGCTCCTTTATTCATAGTAATCCATATAGATATATCCATTATTCCAAGCGATGTTGAAGTCTGTCACTATTGTTATAGAACTGTTTTCCTATCATTTCTTTCAAGTTTTGTTTTTTATGGCCTAGGACTCTATTGTCACGTTCATGTTTGTAATTGTTAGATCTTCTAGATAGGGTGATTTTTTTCTCACTACAGTATTAGTTATTAAGTTTTGTACCAGCTTATAATTTAAAGCCTGTTTTATATAACTGTTCCACCTTCCTTTTGTATTGTTTGTATTTTTCCCGTCCTTTAACTTCAAACCTGTTATATCTTTAGATCTAAAGTGTCTACCATGTAGACAGCATATATACATATATGTATATGATTCATGCTTCTTCCTTATCCTTTCTGGAGGTTAATGCCTTTTAGCTGAGAATTTCATTTATAAAGTGATTACTTCATAATGAAGGACTTATATCTGCTTAAAGAATCATTTCAGACTAAAGATACAAAGTGGCTTCTGTTTAGCTAAATTGTTACCTTCCTCAGTATTCTTTACTCATTTTAGTTTCTATTTACAGTCCACTTCTGGCCAAAGGACTCTAATAAATATTTCTCTGTGACTTCTATTGTGATAAATATAAAACCCATTTCTAAAATAATTTAGCATCTTTTGGCTCAGTCTTCTGATATATATATATATATATATATATATATATATATATATATATATATAAAGTGAACCAGTGATGTTACTAAGAAGACAATACTAGTAGAAATTTGCAGATATTTCAAAGATAACAGTTTAATGCCAGGATGCTGCAAATAAAAAATTACAGTAGTTTTATCAAATTAAGAGACGAGGTAAACCATTTGAGAGATAATCATCTCAGTAGTTAGACATTTCTCATATCATTGTAAATGCTGTGTTCAATCCTATTTGAAAATTTATCACCCAGGCTCTGTGGCGCATGCCTGTAATCCCAGCACTCGGGGAGGCAGAGGCAGGCAGATCTCTGTGAGCTTGAGGCCAGCCTGGTCTATGAAGCAAATTCAGGACAGCCAGGGCTACACAGAGAAACCCTGTCTCAGAAAGTAGAAAGAAAAAAAGAAGAAAAAGAAAGAAAGAAAGAAAGAAAGAAAGAAAGAAAGAAAGAAAGAAAGAAAG